GTGAGGGCCGTGATAGGCTGAGTAGTTGGGTCACTAAACCAGGTGCCAACTGCACAAATGTGCACCGCTGGGCCTTCAAGAAACGGAAAGATTATAGATACAGAGACTCTGACTCCAAAAAACACAGTCCAGTGGGAAAGACGAAGGAATTAAAATTCTGTACAGAATGAAGCAAGTGCTATAACAGGGATACAAACCAGGAATCTGTGTGTTGTCCTTGTTTATCACTTTTGCAGAGTCCATGCTGTACTTTCTATATCATCACAATTTTAGTAATTGTGCTACCATTTTTTAATGAAAACATCAAATATCTTTCATTAAATGCCAGCTTTTTTAAGGAAATTAATTTTTTCCTAGAGTTCTTTTTTAATTAGATATTTATCACAGTCAAGTATCTTGATAACACTCAGATAATTTGGAGTAAGACCCTAAAAATAACTATTTGAGCCTTACTTATAGTCTCTTTGATAACAACAAAAGTGGCAAATGTAAACATACTCTAATTCTTTAATCTTCTGGCCAAGTGTGTGTGTGTGTGTGTGTGTGTGTGTGTGTGTGTGAGAGAGAGAGAGAGAGAGAGAGAGAGATAGAGAGAGAAAGAGAGGAGAGAGAGAAATCTAACACCCTCTCTAAACTTCACCGAGGCAGGACATCCTAATCTTTAAATTTAAGGCTTATGTGCCCTAAATTGTCTGTCATTCCTTTTCTGAGACTCCTATACGTCCCTCAAGATCCAGTTTAAATGTAACCACCCAATTTCCCCAAATACTCTTCTGGGCACCCAAGACACCTGCATTTCTCTAATATAGTGCATTTCACATTGCACTGAACTACTAATAATCCTACCAGGTTTTAAGATATTTGTTGCAGTGTTATGCACTTAGAACATAATAGGTATAAATGTTTGTGAATAAATTAGCAAATGAATGAATGAATGATTAACATATGATACAATAATCTAATTCCACCCCAGAACTAGAATTATTCAGGTTTCCTCAAACCACACACCATGATACACAGCAATATACTTTTTCCTACTTCCACATTCTAATAGGAAACCAGAATCCTAGATGTACATTATTCTGAAGCAATATCACCCCATTCACTTCTGACCTTTTAAATCCATTCCTATAAACTTGAAAACAAAAGAACTACATAGATAAAAAGAGAAACAATCCAACTTTCAAAATACATTTTAAATTAATTTCTGCTACATTTACACATTCATTTACTTTATACAAGTGTCGGTTATTTCTCCAAATCTCCTCTTTATCTTCTTTAATAATGAGATCAATCTTTTCAAGTTTTCCTCGATATTCAGAAATAAAAACTCCACTTTAATTTACTAAGCTTTACACAACTTCGCAAAGGTGAAAATTCCTTAAGCTACAATTTTTAGTTTAATGTAGAATCATCGCCCATTTCTTTCCTTTCCTTCTCTGAATCTTATCACAATGAAATAAGATATTGGGGTCACTCCTCATTCCCAAGTGTGATGACCACAAGGCCAATGGACAATGTGGTCCTGGGCCATAGAAAAGCATTGCTATCACCCTCTCTCTACCCTTTACCTGCATCAGATACAGACCACAGAAAAAGTAACCTGGCTGCCCAGGGAGTTTTCCTCCCAGCTCTACGTGTAGGAGGGAAAAGAACTCACTGCACAAACATTTCATGTGCACAGAGAACATCACAGGTCAGACAGACAAGACTCATGAGTGAACCTGAAAAAGCCAAACCATAAATTCTTGAGATGCAGAGTAGGAAGAGACATTCCAGACAGCTAAGTCATGCTTTTTGTTTTATACATCAGAGTGAGGCCCAGCATCTTGCTAGTGGCAGAGACAGAATGAGAGCCCATTCTGTTCCCATGCTCCCATCACTACACTTTTTTTGTCTCTAGGCTCAGCCATATCCCCCTGGGGCTGGACACATTATCACCTTCTGATCCAGCATGGCAATGGAACATAGCAATTCTTCCTTCCAGCAGAGTCCTAAGTACACACTAGCCATACAATGAGGTCCACACCTGTATGTTTAATGAAGCATAAAAAGAATCACAATGGTTCATTCATTTCAATCCAATATTCATATATTGAGCACCTATCATGTACAAGGGCCATGGCTATGTGTTAGGCAACATTAGTGAATACAGAAATACAATTAACTTCACTGGATATCATATTGTACTTGAGTGACCATGGAAATATAAACAGTGGTACAGGGGCCCAAAGGAAAACACCAGAACTGCTAACCAGAATAACTGGGGTTCAAGTTAGAGGTGTAGTGAAGGTTTTGTAGAAGAGGCAATATTTTCATTGAATCTTAAAGAAAGAATGCTGCTTCATCAGGTAGAGCAGAGAAGATGAAGACATGCCAGAGAAAGGAGTTAACTTAACCACACATACAAATAGAACAGTAAGTGGACAACTCAAAATACATGGGGAAAGAGGGCAAGAGATGGGACTGGCACAATATTTGTGATAATATTGATGGCATTGCTAAAGAATGCAGGCACTGGCATTTAAAAGCGAGCATTGGTCTGAGCTGAGAAGGACATTCATTTCTGGGTTTTGGAGGTAATTCTCCCATTCCTGTGGAGAATGAATTGGAGATGAGAGAGGCAGGATGCACAGAAGCCATTTAAGATATTTTTCCACAAAGGAAACACTGTATGGAAATGTGTTCCTTTTCACACTTTTCCTCCAAGCCTGGAGACACACATGAGAAGGTATGCATTTCTCAAACACAGAAGGAAGAAGAGCTTTTTTTTAGCTTTTCTGGGATTGTCCCCTTTGCTGTGATAAGGATTGTCAACTAGTCCTATGGCTGTGGGGTAGTGGAGGTGAGAAGTCCACTCTTAGCCCTGCTCAGGGGCTCGCTCTAAACAAAGCAGTTGGAAGTCACAGAAAACTTACTATAATGGGATTCTCCAACTTCCTGCCTCTGGCCACCTTTTCACATACTCCTGTCACTGGTGTTCACTGAGGCTGGAGCCCTCACTCTGTCCCCAGTCTGTGCTACAGAGGGAGCCACACTGGCAGGAGGGCAGCTGAATGACAGGAGAGGAGGCCATCCAAAGAATCCAGAAGGAGAGACAAGGCTGAGCCCAGACAACAAACGGGAGGCTCCTGTGCTGAACACGAAGTTCCATCTGCTCCTTGTCAAACAGCAAACCGCAGGGGCTGTCACACAGCCATTTCATCTAAAAGATGAGTCATCTCTCTAAGGGGCAGGGGCTGTGATGGGGTATGCAAGGTGGTCCCCAGAGCAGGGGACAAATAGCCCAGCCTCTATTTGTGTTGACTCAGTCACTGCATCCTTGAAAAATGTTTACCTTAATTCATGTTTTATAAACTAATACTTATGAACTATATCTTATAAATACAACCTATAATAATAAAAGCGTAATATGCTAATTAGACCGGAGAGCCACCACCTTCCGGACGACCTTCTGGACGAAGCGGGAGCAGCCGCCGCGGCTGCGAGGGCCGAGACCCTTACACGAATTTAGTGTATCAGGCCTCTAGTTTTGAAATAATTTAATATGCATTATTGAAATCCATACTCAAAAACATTTTTGGTGGTGGTACATGATTTGAAAAGTTTGGAGATCGTTGTGATAAACCATAGTCTCACACAAAAAGCATTATATAAAGTTCAACTGTGACCAACTTAAATCCACATTATATGCCTAAAGGTGAAAAAAAAATTGAGGGAGGGACAAAAAGGAGAATGTCACTATATAGTTAAAAATTGAAAAATTTCCTTACATCTTATGTCTTCATACTGAAAGTATTAACAAAAATAATTTCGGAAATAAATAACTTTATCAAAACCAATAGCTATGTTTAAAAAGCTAATTTCAATCCTATGCTTAAAAACATTTAGCCCTAGCTGGTTTGGCTCAGTGTCAGCCTGTGGCCTGAAGGGTTCCAGGTTCAATTCCGGTCAAGGGCACGAAAAATAAATTAATTAATTAAAATAAAACCATTTCAAAAAAATCTATTCTCTCAAGGAAGCACTTTTTTTAAAAAAGACTTAACTATCTAACAAAATCAACCAATCCTGATTCAAATTTTACAAAGGCAGGTAAAACACACAAGTGTCACTAAAAATGGTGTATGCTATATTCAAATTACATAATCCATAACTTATTGTCATCTGAAGTTTTAGAGTGAAAATTGGATACTATTTCCAACCCTAGTACACATATACACAAACACATTTACTAGTATGTGGCTAGGAAAGAAGCAATCTATAGAAAATGTCTCCTGCTTCTACATATATGCCCTTCATTCCTGTTACAGGGGACTCCAGAACTTCTCCCATCCTCAGCTGTTAGTTTTCAACTTTTTGTAAATTCTAATCCAGGTTCTCATATGGCAGAGAATGGATTAAATTCCCATGTGACCACCAATAATGGCAGGTACCATAAATACTTCCCTGCCTCCCCCAAGCAGCCCACAGCCAATGAAGATAAGAAATGAGGAATAAAAAAAAACAAAATTCAATACTTGCAAATTATAATATTTATATTGTTACTCACATACAAGAATATCTGACAATAATTTCCATCTCCCTTCTGACTCCATAATGAAGATCTCATGTAGCTCAGAAAAAGGGCTTATATATCCTGCATGATCTATTTTTAGTTTTAATTACAATGCTTAGCAAAGCTTGGGAGAAAATAATTTCAATTCATTTAGAAAATAACTCCCATTCAATACAAGAAGATGAGATTTTTCACATGTAAATTTTATGTATTTGATATGAAAATGGTTTGGCATATGATAAAATATTTTCTTAGAAACTTTGGTCTATTGAAGATCCAGGGATGATATCTATTAATAAAAACAAAATGATTTGCCTCAAAAAAGTCTAAGAGCTCACACTCTCCTTCCCAACAGACTCGGTTTTATCGAGGCTACTATAACCCAGAAAAAGTGCATTCAAGCCAGTGTGAGACAGAAAGGCTGTGAAGTCTTCTCAGTACTTACTGATCCGTACAGCTCCCCCTTCTCATTCATGCCGAGGTAGAGTCCACTGTCCACGCCTCGAATGCTGACAAGGCCCACGGCTATACTGATAAATTCCAGAATGCCTACAAGACAATAGGCAGAAGGTGAAGGGCAGGTCAGAGCACAGAGCACTGCCCTGAGTCTCAGCATCACTAGAAGTTTCAAAGAGGACTGAGGTTAGCTCCCAACTGGGATAATCTCACAGTCATTAAGGAAGTGTCTTTTAGAACCACTGCTGAAGAGAATTGATTTTTATAATAATGATACAAAAATACTTATCAACGTGACACATAACATTTTAAAAATAAAAAGCTAGTATGTACATAGATATGCTGAGAAGTGATGGGACATAAACTAGTGTACATATTCTAATTAACCTAAAATAATTTAATTGGAGAGAAAAACACCCAGTTTTCCTCCCAGATGATAAATGTGAAATTAAACATTTGTGTATGGGCATAGATTAAAAAAAATTATATTCAGAGAATGGTCTTATGTCCCTCAAAATAAGAGTATGAGGTGCTAAATTGATTGGTTTATACAGAAAGCTATCCAGCTCTCTACTGTATATAGAGCTACATCTGAAACACTAAAATAGCCTACTCATATCCCAAATATTTCTGCTGAAACAAAGTATCTATTATTGCTATAGTTATCTAAGCCTCATAGGGATACTTAAGCAATTAAGATAACACAATATTCTGAAAAAAATGCAGATTCCAAAAATACTCTTGATTTTAAATAGTCATGGAATATTATATCCCAAAAACAAATCAACATAATTATCTTTTAGTTCCTTCTTTCTGCTTTCTTACCTCACTAAGAATAACAACACCTATGCTGGGCATAAACCCAGGATTTTATGGCTATACAACAACAGCTTCAATGTCTCTAACTATATTGTTGTTTTAATATGATTACCCAACAGGATATTTGGGACAATGCTAATATTACTCATGCTTAACAATTTACTCAATCTATAATAATAAACTTGTAATGTGCTAATTAAACCGGAAAGCCAAACGACCTTCTGGACGAAGCCAGGGCTGCAAGGGCTGAGGCAAGCCGCCACAGCTGTGAGGGCCAAGCCCCTTGCATGAATTTTGTGCATCACGCCTCTAGTTTCATGATAAAGTGTTAGACTTTGTAAAAGCCTTGCATTAATGTATACCAAATATTGGGTTTTCTAAAAAATCTTCAACTATTGAAAAATTTACTTACATCTTAGAATAACATTGGCCTATAGTTATGTGACTGACAAAAAAGAAATTATATGGATTTTTAAATAATTAATTTTCAACTCTCACAAAACAGACTGTGCTACAGTGAAAAGATGACATGACAGCCTGGTGATGTGGCTCAGTGGTTGAGCATTGACCTATGAACCAGGAGGTCATGTCTGGTTTGCAGGCTCGGTCCCCAGTGTGGGGCATGCAGGAGGCAGCCAATCAATGATTCTCTCTCATCATTAATGTTTCTATCTCTTTCACCCTCTCACCTCCTCTCTGAAATCAATAAAAATATATTTAAAAAAAACACAAAGAAGACATGACAAATACATGGTGATGAAGGGAGACAAGACTTTGGGTGAGGAGTACACAGTGGAGTATATGGATGATGTTATTATAAATTGTACAGCTAAAAGTTATAGAAAGTTATTAGTCAACGTCACCCCAATAAATTTAATTTTAAAACAAAACACATGGAGGAGACAAAATGGTGGTGAAATAGGCAGACGTGTCCCAAGCCTTGTCCCGGAGCAGATATAAGGAGCAACTAAATCGAATAACATCCACCCCGAATTGGCAAAGTAGACACAGCTGGTGAGACAATTCGCAGCCGAGAAGGGCAGAGGACACCTGGAGAACAGTAAAATCAGGGATCTGGGCTGGAAAGAATTACGAGACCTCCAAGCCCAGAAGGTCAGAAGGAAGCTGCATGGCACCAAGGCCGTGTCCCTTAGGACAGGCGTAACATCTAACTGTGGAAAGGAAGTCCACAGGGCTGCTGGCGAGAGGGGATTCTAAATCTAAGCCCACAGCCACGAGAGGCTGAGCCCAGAGGCGGCAGCCGGAACAACTGCCCAAGCCGAGCTGTGCTGGGGTGGGGGGAGGAGCTCGCAGTGGCGCAGCTCTTTCCCTTCTGGTCTTTGCTTTTATTCGCTAAACCCAGTTCATAGGACCTTTCAAATACAAACACTCACCCGTGGCTGAGGTGCGGACTTGTGGAGTCTAGGGAGGGGAGCAGCTCGGGGATAGGTGGCCGGGAGTCTGGCACTGAGACATACCTGACAAGCTGGACCTAGGCAGCCATTTTCTCCTGAAGAGATAGCCCCTGCCTGCAGTCTCCAGGCCCCCAATACAGCCACAACCAGACTACACCCTGAGTGCTACAAAGGATACCAAAAAAAAAAATCTGAATAGTACCTGAGAGCCCTCAGGGACTGGCCTGAAGAGAGGCCATTCAGTCCTGGAAAGCCATACGACAACCTCCCCAACTATAGCCCTGTCAGAAACAGCCGCTTGAGAGATTAAGATTAAAAGCAGACAGACAGGCAAAGTGGGCTGATTAAACCCGCCTGCTGGCAGTCAAGGCTGTGGAGATAGACACAAACAGAGGAGCAGTGGACCGCTTGGAACTTCAACAATCTAACAGGAAACTGAGAAGTGGCAGACAGTACAGAAGAGTGAGATCTTAAACCAGCCCCCATGGGACATTAAAACTCAGCGGAAAGGAACGACACTCACTTTTTCATTTTTACTAGTATTTTATTTTATTTTCTTATTTTGTTATCTTTCTCTATTTTCTGTATTTCCTTTTTTGTTTCTTTATTTTTATTTCTTCTTGCATTATTTTTTTCATCATTCTATTCTATTTTCCTATTTTTTATTTTCATTTTCTTCATTTTATCCTATTTTTAATGAATTTTTTTGTTTTTTTTCTTCTTTCTCTTTCTTCTTATCCACTCATCCTCTTCCTACTTCCTCTATACTGAACTGAGGTCCTCCCCCTATTCATCCAATTCCTTAACCTTACTTTCTATAGATAAGCTCAGCCTCTACAGATTCTGCCCCCACCCTCTTTTCTGGGTGTTTGATATTTGCATTTTTTTGTTTATCTCTTTGTTCTGTGGTGTTTTCTCCAATACACACACACACACACACACACACACTATAGGCCCGGTGCACAAAATTCGTGCAAGGGGGGATGAGGTTCCCTCAGCCTGGACTGCACCCTCTCACAATCTGGGAACCCTTGGGGGATTCCAACTGTCAGTTTAGAATTCCAACTGTCTAAACCGGCAGTCAGACATCCCTCTCGCAATCCGGGACCACTAGCTCCTAACTGCTCGCCTGCCTGCCTTATCACTCCTAACCACTCACCTGCCTGCCTGATCGCCCCTAACCGCCTCAGCCTCTGGCCCCTGCCGCCGCGGCTTCGTCCAAAGGATGTCCAGAATGATGTCCGGAAAGTCGTTCAGCTGTCCGGTCTTATTAGCATATTACACTTTTATTATTATAGATTTGTTCCCTCTTTCTTCCTTTCTCTTTTTTTTCTTTTCTCTCTTACCATTTTTTCTCTCCTTGATATCATTTGTGCTCTCTTTTCTCTCCCCTAATTCTCTTTTCTCTGGTGGTCACTTATATTGGGGTAATCAGTGTTGTGAGTACGTTCTTCTTTTGTTCCCTTTGTGTAGTGTCTTGTCGAGTTGCATTTTTTTACTGTTTGGTCGATAGGGTAGAAGGCGAGCCACATAACCAGACACCCAGAGAGGAGACTCCATCCACAAACGGGTCAGAAACACTCCAGACCCAAATACAGAGGCAGGAAGATGGCGACAGTGAGGGAGAAAGCATGAGTGAGTGAGGGAGAGAAACAGGAGTGTGTGGACGTGTGGGGCCTGTGTGTGTGCATGTGAGTGAGGGACTGTTAGATCCCGCAGGACCTACGGGGGCAGGCAGACCGGGCTCGCCTAGCCAGGCAGCCTCTGCTACCATTGCGAACAGTTCCGGGGCGGCTGGCTCTACCGCAGAGGCTGCGCCTTCCTGAAGGGGAGAGCTGCTGTGACTGGGAGGCCAGCCTCACCTCCACCCAGGGTACCCTGAGACACCACCCAGGACTCGACAGCCACCTCCGCCAGGGACCAGCTACCTCAGCTGAGGTCCCACGGTCACTGAGACTCCAGCCACACCAGCCATGGGCTCCTGTGAGTTCCAAAGCATGCTCCCCTATGGCCAGCCCAACGCTTTAGCCTAGGGCACCATGACCACAAGAGCAGCAGCAGTGAGAGCAGACCACCCCCATCCAAGGAGCAGCAGCCCCACGCGAAGCCTGCCCCCATCAGAGAAGCAGCAGCCCCTCAAGCAGTGTGCCCCCATCAGAGGAGCGGCAGTCTTACATGGCCTGCCCTCATCCAAGGAGCAGCAGCCTAGTGAGTAGCCCACCCCCGTCCGAGGAGCAGCAGCCACGCATGCAGCCCGCACTGTCTGAGGAGCAGCAGCCCCGTGAGAAGCCCACCCCCATCTGAGGACCAGCAGCCGTGCAAGCAGCCAGTGCCCACCCAAGAAGGAGCAGCCCCGCGAGCAGCCCACTGCCATCTGAGGAGCAGCACCCGCACACAACCCGACCCCGTCAGAGAATCAGCAGCCACGTGGAGAACGCCCCCGTCCGAGGAGCAGCAGACACGCACAGCCTGCCCTGTTCGAGGACCAGCAGCCACATGAGCACCCCACCCCAATCCGAGGAGCAGCAGCTGCACGAGTTGCCCGCCCCCGTCCAAGGAACAGCAGCCTCACAAAGCCAACCCCCACCCAAGGAGCAGCATCCTCGTTTGCAGGCCGCCCCCATCCGAGGAGCAGCAGCTGGGCAAGCAGCCCACCCCCACCAGCCAGAGGAGCCACCATTGCTGCGAGTAGCCATGTGAGCAGCACCCAACAGAGGAGCCACCACCAACGGAGGAGCGGCCACTGCCACGACCGCCCAAGGAGCAGCCACAGCCCGAGGAGCTGCTGCCGCCCAAGGAGCAGCCCCCGCACAACTCAACAAATAGATCCTTTGGTGAGAGCAAAATTGAGGAGACAAA